TTCCTTTTCCATGTGCCCTTTCCCCATCGGGGGGGTGGGTCTGCCACTGCTCCCTGTCAGTGGACACCCCCTCCCACCACCGACCAGCAGCCAACCCAGACCCATGAAGGCAGCCATGGGGGCCCTCCCCCCCACCGCCCCTGCCAAAAAAACAGCACCGCATACACTTTGCTTCCGGATCTGGAACATGCGCGGGTGCCCCGATACTGGTTTGCAAAGTTTTTGACATGGACGGCGGGGGTGCCTCCACAACAAACAATACAACGTGCACTTTGCCACCACATCTACAGCATGCACGGGTGCCTCGCGGCCTCGTTGCGTCGGCTGTTGACAAGAATGGCGGGGGTGCGTGCCCCGATTTTGTTTGCTGCGCGCAGGCCAACCATCCCTGTCCAATCGCAATGCAACGTGCAAGCGGCCCCCACACCTGGAGCATGCGCGGGCGCCCCGCGACCACTTTTCATTGATCATTGCTAAATATGCGCGTGTGTTACTGAATTTCTGGGTGGGCGGGTGGGAGTAAGTGAGACAGCTTGTGCCTTGTGAAGGCCTTCTGGGCAGGAGGTGTCGTGACCTCTTCCCCTCCCCCCCCCCCTTTGGTCTGGATGGGAGGGGCCGCGACCAACGTCAGCGTTCAAAATGGCTCAAGATGCCTTTAAGAGGGCCTCAGGGAAGGCAAGGTGGTTTCCCAGATGACGGAAGATAGCGCAATGTCCGCTCGAAATGACTTCCCAACTGCTCCACGAGGCCCCAATACCTCCCCGAGACGGCTCCAAGTGGCCGCCCCCCCCCCTAAGACACCGCCAAGAAGCCAGCCTCTTTCGAACACCTACAGAACATCAGTGTCTTTCGGTTTCTCGCCTGTTCGCTCTCGACGGCCCTCCGAGGCCCCAGGGTGGCTCCAAAGAGGCCCAAGGAGAGCCCCATGAGGAGACCAAGAGGGTCCCTAACGGCTCCACAAGCGCTCCAAGAGGGGTACCCGAGGAGATGTAAAGATCTCTCGAAGGGCGACGCTGGTAAGTATTTCGCCTGCTTGGATCGATTTCCTTTAAGCTGGCCCCAACATGGCACCCAAGAGAATGCCCCAAGAGGGCCCCAAGAGTCGCCCGTGAGGCCCCAAGCGGACCCCAACAGGTCCCCAAGAGGCCCCCGAAAATAGCTCCAGGAGGCCCCCCCCCAATGTACCCACAACGCCCCAAGAGGCCCTTGGGACCGCCAAGAAGCCAACAAACCGCCCCAAAAGGACCCCGAGAAGCCCTCAAGAGATACCCGAAGGGATTCCGAGAGTCATCTCAGAGGCCTCTGGCCTTTCTGCTCGCCCTCCTTTCTTTCGAGCGCATTCCGCCAACGGTTACAGCCGCCGCGGGTGTTCCCCGGCAGACGAAGGTAAACGTCCGAGGCTTTGTGCATGTCTTGGGAGCTGGCGATGGCGCCTTGGGTGCCACACTGGCTGCGGTGTCGGAACCGCCCGTCTTCGGAATCTGGGGTGGGTCCCCCGCCAGTCTGCCAGCGACTCGTCGAGCCCTGCAAACTGCCGCAGACAGGAAATTCAAGGTGGTGGCTGGACGCCTGTCGGGATATGTTTTGCTTTGCTTTTCCCGCCACCCGCAGCTTCCGCTGCCACTTCTCGCCTTCTCGCACGTGCCTGTTTGGAGAAGAGAGACAAGGGGAAGAGGAACAAAAAAGGAGGCGGAGTGTGGTTCAGCGAGGAGTCAGGATGCGGACTGGGGGAGGGCCAAGGTGCTGTGCCCAATTCCGCGTTGTTCCTGCCTCGGGCTGGCCTCGTTCTGGAAAAATGATGACGACGAGGAGCGTAGACGAGAGGATACCGAGAACCAATCAAGAGGCAGGGGGAAGGGTGTAACGGAACGGAGAAGAAGATCCTGCGGCCAGGCTCTAAGAGTGGACGAAGACGGCGCAAGAGGAAGGGGAGGAGGAGGAAAATCGATGCGAACGGGCAGCGCAGGAGAAAGTCGGAGGTTGGGGGGTGAGATCGCAATGGAATGGAGACCCCCAACCTTGAAATCGTTCCGTTTCGTTCGTGTCGCGCGTGCGGGCGAGGCGAAACTGCGTGGGCGCGCGAGAGGGATGAACCCGCCGTTGCCAGGGTGAAATCAAGACAAATGATTTTCCTCCGTCCGTCAGTCCGTCCGGCCAGCGATGGCTCGCGGTGTCCCTCGGTGTCCCGTGGTGTCCGCCGTTGCTAGGGTGAAATCAAGACAACTGATTTTCCTCCGTCCGTCAGTCCGTCCGGCGGTGGCTCGCGGTGTCCCGCGGTGTCCCGTGGTGTCCGCTGTTGCTAAGGCAAAGTCAAAACAAATGATTATCCCCCGTCCGTCCGTCCGTCCGGCGGTGGCTCGCGGTGTCCCGTGGTGTCCCGTGGTGTACCGTTGAGCGAGATCGATAGTGAGATCGATAGTGGGATCGATAGTGAGATCGATTGTGAAATTGATGTGGTGCCCCGAGGTGTCCCGTGGCGTCCCAGAAAACTGAGATCGATAGTGAGATCGACAAGTGTCCCGTGGTGTCCCGTTGAGTGAGATCGATAGTGAGATCGATAGTGAGATCGATACTGAGATCAATGTGGTGCCCCGAGGTGTGCCGTGGTGTCCCAATAAGTGAGATCCATAATGAGATCGATGGTGACATCGACAGGTGTCCCATGGTGTCCCGTGGAGTGAGATCGATAGTGAGATCGATGTGGTGTCCCGAGGTGTTCCGTGGTGTCCTGTGGTGTCCGATGGTGTCCCGCTGAGTGAGATCGATAGTGAGACCGATAGTGAGATCGAGAGGTGTCCCGCGGTGTCCCGTGGTGTCCCGTGGTGGCCCGTTGAGTGTGATCGATAAAGAGATCGATAGTGAGATCGACACATGTCCCGTGGTGTCCCGTGGTGCCCCGTTGAGTGAGAGCGATAATGAGATCGATTGAGTCAGATGTTGGTTCCCCCCCCCCTTCCCCCCCCCCACAACCCACAACCTCCTGATCACCCGAAGGGTGGCCGTATAGGTAGATCGTGACCAGGGCCAGAGAAGAACATCGGGCGGCCACGACCGAGACCTCTCGTCCCAATCATGGGGGCCGAGGGGCAGAGGGCCGAGGGGCCGAGGCCGAGCTGGAGCGGGAGAAGGAAAAAGGGAAGGTCAGGTGGGGGTGCAAGGGCAGACAAGGGAAGCAGACAGAAGGAGGCGGGCCAGCCTTCCGGGCACGGGTCTCGAGAGCCGCCAGGACGCGTCGGCTCGCCCTGCGACGTGCCACGTGGGCGCGGATGTCAAGGGCAGCGGGGCACTCGCGGCGGATGCGTCGCTTCTCGCCGCCTCCCAGGGCTTCAGCTCCTTTGAGAGCTTGGCCAACAGCTCGGACGCATGCTTCTTCAGCTGCTCCACCTCCGCCTCCGCGATCGAGCATGTCCAGAGCCCGCTGTGGCTGCTCGCGGGGCTCCAGCTTCGCCTCCCGCACCTCGCTCGGCAGCGCCAGAACAACCAGCGGCCAGTGAGCGTCCTTCTCGCACACGCTGGTCCCGGGGTTGTAGCTGAGACGCTGGCCTCCAACCTCGCCTCCCGCGTTTCGCTGAGCAGCCTGCTGCCACTGCCCGCCGCGTTGTAGCTGATGACGTTGGGCCCCAGATTCGCCAACTATATCTCGCTGAGCAGCTGAGCCCGCTGAGCCCTGTTCACCTTTCTCCGAAGGCGCCAAAGGCTAGTGCTGTAGCCGAGGACGTTTGGCTTCAACTTGGCCTCCCCCATCTCCTCCTCCTCCTCCTCCTCCTCCTCCTCCTCCTCCTCCTCCTCCTCCTTCTCCCTCTCTTGCTTGGCTCGTCCTCATCCTCGTCCTCCGCCTCCTTCTCCTCCTCCTTCGCCTCCTCCTCGTCGTGCTTAGCCCGTCCTCGTCCTCCGCCTCCTCCTGCTGCTTCTCCTCTTCGTCCTCTTCTTCCCCCTCCTGGAATTCGTGCGGTTCCGACTGCGCGGCAGGAGCGCCTCTGGGGGAGGAGAGCAACGACGGGGAGGAGACGGAGAAGGCCCAAGATGATGGGAACAAGCCAGACCCCACACCTCTTGGGACACGCTCGGCGCAGAAGGGGTCGCAGACACAGCGTTTCTGGGTGTCCGAAGCTGGATCGGACAGCTATTTTCTGAAGCCCCTCCCGCGCAGGAGGTGTCCCAAGAGGTGTAGGGCGTGGCTCCCGACTCATCTGGGAGCCTATCGGAGCCGTGTAACTTGTTCCAGTCAACTGGGACCTTCTAGGATCACGTCAGAGCCGTTTCGATGGAGCTGCTGGAGGCTTTCTGGGAGCCTCTGGGGAGTGCCCTGGAGGCCGTCCAGGAGTCTCTGGGGGGCTTCTTCGGGGTTTGCTAGCCGTGGGGAAGGCGGGATGGGGGGGGGGGGGCGCTCCAGAGATGGTCCTGCTGGGCATCCCTTGGGGCCGTCCTGGAGGGCCTCTCCGCCGACTTCGGAATCCCCGGAGCCGTCTAGGGGGCCGATGGGGCCGTTGTCGCAGGCACCCTCTTGGGAGCTTCCTGGGCGCTCTTGGGACGATTCGGGAGGCTTCTCAGGGTGAGTTGGGATTCTCTTGGCCGTGAGAGCGATGGTGGGAGGACGTGTTCGAAAACCTGCAGCACATCGATAGCTCGCCGCCCTCGTGGCCCTCTCGGAGGCCACGAGGGAGCCCTGCGGAACCTGGTGGGGGGCCCTCCCCGGCCCGCGGGGAGCCCTCCTGCGCTGCCGAGGGGCGCTCGGGGGGCCTCTCGGGCCCCTCGCAGGTCCCCCTCGGCCTTCGCGAGGCAGGGCGTCGGCGCCGCCCCGGCGAGCGGCGCCGACGCCGCCGCGGGCCCCGGCGAGCGCCACTCGGGGAGCCATCCGGGCCGCGGCCCGTCCGGTGCTGTGTGGTACGGATGGCGTCGGGCTCCGGCGTCACCTCCCGCATCTCCCCCAGCAGCGCCAGCGCCCGCTGCCACTGCTCGCCCTTCTCGCACACGCGCTGGTCCCCGTATTTTGGGATAGGCTGGTGTGCACCCGTGGGGCAAATCCGCAGGTGCCCCGGCAGGGGAACGCGGCGGGGCCATCTCTGGGCCATCGTGGGTCGTCTTGGGCGCCTCTTGGGCCGGCTTGGGGCTTGCTGCCTTGCAGCTCTCTTGGGCCGTCTTGCAGCCTTGCAGCAGGTTCTGGGAGCACCCTGAAGACCTCGAAAATTACCCCAAGAGGGGCTCCAGAGGGCCCGAAGACGGCCCCAAGAGGGCCCTCAGAAAGCACCCGACGGATGATACAACAGGGGGGTGCGTTGTAACATCCGTTGGGGGGCCTATTCGGGCTCTCTGGCAGCGCTCTTGGGGCCGTCTTGGGGTGCACATGGGGCTCTTGCGGGCCATCTGTGGGCCGTCTCGGGTCGTCTTGGGCGCCTCTTGCATCTTGGGGCCCTCTGAAGCAGTCTGGACGCCACCTTGGGCCATCTTGAGGCCATCCTCGGCGGTATTGGAAGCATCTTCGGAGAATTTGGAGGCCTCTTGGGCTCGCTTGGGCCGTCTGGGAGGCGCAAGCCCTCCCGGTGGGCCCTCCCTGCGGTTCCCCCCCGGCTCTGCTACGATTTGCACCCTTCATGCGCTGCTCCCGGTATTTGTTGGATTAGATGGCGTTGGGCTCCAGCTTCGCCTCCCGAGTCGCCCTCAGCAGCGCCATCGCCCGCTGTCACTGCTCGCCCCTCTCGCACGCGCTGATCCCAGCGGTGTAGCTGACCAAGGCTGACCCGTGGACTTCGTCCACGAAGTATGTGCGAGCTGGCATGCGCTGGTGGACATGCTGCCAAAAGGCTGACATGATGGCGCGGGGATCTAATTCCGCATTCCGCACATGCTACTACGCGCTGCTGCTTGCTGCCACTGCTGTGTGCTGTTCGTAATGCTTACTTATCGCTGCTGCGTGCTGTTGCTGCTTGTAGCTGCAAGATGCTGCTAGTGTTGGGTCCGACGTGCCGTCATGCCAGATTTTTGTGGAATTGGAGGCCCTCTGCGGCGCCTCGTGGGCTCCTGACTGGGCGGCCGAGCGGCTTGCAGAAGGGTTCCAGGATCGCCGTGGAAGCTCGCAGGGCGCTCCTCCTAGGGGAGCCCAAGAGGGCTCCAAGAGGAAACGAAGTTTTCACAATGATTTAACGAAACCACTGTCTCGGACGTGCCATCTCGTTACGTGAAATGCTTTTGAAATGGGAGGCCCTCGGGGGCCCCTCTGGGGCTCCTGATTGGGCTACCGAGAGGCCGCCTGGGCTCCTCTTGGGCCGTCTTGGGCGGCCTCTCTTCAGGCCCCTTCTGGGGTCCTTTGGGACCGTCTTGGGCCGTCTGAAGGCGCTCTCGGGGCTCTCTTCGGGCGTCTTGGAACGCCTCGGGACGTCTCGAAGCGGCCTGGGGCCGCCCTGGAGGCCTGCTGGGGCCCGCCGGGACGCCGGAGGAGCTATTGGGACAGCGTACTTCGCGCGCGCGCGTATGCCTGCAATGTGGTAGAGATGACGTCGGGCTCCAGCTTCGCCTCCCGCATCTCCCTCAGCAACGCCAGCGCCCGCTGCCACTGCTCGCCCTTCTCGCACGCGCTGATCCCAGCGTTGTAGCTGACTAGGGCTGACCCGTGGACTCCGTCCACGACATCTTTCTGGAATGGTTCTCGGAGGAACGGCGCAGATTGTACCGAAAATCTACAAACACGGCGGCGGCTCGGGCGGCGGCAGCGAGACCGCGCCTTCGTGTCCGAGCTCTTGCAGCGCTGCAGCAGCTTGGCCCAGCGCACTGCTCGTTCACCCCCCTCCTATTGAGGACAGTTTCGAAGTCTCTCGGGGATGTGCGTCGAAGTCGAAGCCCATCTGAGGCGTCTCAGGAGCGCTCGGGGAAGGGCTCGGGAGGCCATCGGGGAAAGCCACCGAAAGCGCCGGGGAGGCTCGCAAGGATCTACAGGGAGGGCCCAAGAGAGCTTCAAGAAAATTTGAAATCCAGTGAACTCTTAAGAGAAACCGCTGTTGGGTCGGCCATCACCTCCGGGCGCGCCTTGATGGTGCGATCCAGTCGCATCACCGCCAACGGGAGGGTTTGTTCGCCATGTCCCATTCTGTTCGCCCAGAGGGTCTGTGGAGGCCTTCGGGCGAACAGAACGGGACAGGGCAAGGAATGGGGAAGACATGTCCGAATCTCCTGGGCCCCCCAGATGCTCGTCCGAAGAATGCGGAGAGGTCCCAGGGTCATATCAATTGGCTGCTGTCCCAGGGGTCCGGTCTGCTTGGCCCGAAGAGTTTGCCAAGGCCCCTGGGGGAACAGAATGGCACAGCATATCGGGCAAAGGGGGGCGGTAGCTGGCCTGTCAGACCCGGCGTTCGTCTTCTGCCCAAGCGGCGCGGGGCCCACGGGCCCCAGGGTTGGCGTCCCGCTGGGATTCCTCTTGTTCGCCCACAGGGTTGGAGGAGGCCTCCAGGCGAACAGAATGGGGCAGGACAATGAATGTGGGAGACTTGTCGCAAGCTCCCAGCCCCCCCAAGTGTGCGCCCGAAGGGTGTGGGGCCGCGGTGGCTCCCTCAAAGGGCCGTCTTGGAGCCGTCTAGGCCCGTCTTGAGGGCGCCGTTTGCCCTGATGGGGCCGTCTTGGTTCGTCGTGGGCCCCTCATGGGCGCGTCCGTAGGCCGTCCTGGGCCCATCGGGGTCCTCGTGGGGCTGTCTTGGAGCCGTCTGGGACCGTGAGGAGGCCGCCTTGGAGTCGTCTTGGGCCCCTCCTGTGCGCCTCCTTGGGCCGTCCTGGGCCCAGCAGGGGCCGTGTTGGCACCCTCTTGGGGCTGTCTTGGAGCCGTCTTGAGCCGTCGCAGCGCGCCTTGGGTTGTGCTGGGTCCGTCTTGGCCCGTCTTGGGGCCTTCCTGGGCGGTTCCTCGGACCCTCCTGGGACTTTCTGGGGCCTCTTGGTGCATCGGACCGCCGAAACGGCGGGAAACGCAAAGGGTGTAACTGTAAACAATGGAAAATTAATGATTTTTGCCAGCTGGGACTCTCTTGCCATCTTGGCCCGTCTTGAGGCCCCGAACGGGCGCGTCCTTGGGCCGTCCTGGGCGCACCCCCCTGGGACCGTCTTGGAATCATCTTGGGCCGTCTTGAGCGCGCCTTGGGCCGTCCTGGGCCGGTCTGGGGCCGTGTTGGCACCCTCGCGGCGAGGAAGCTCGGAGGCGGGCTCGAGGCCTCTTCGGGGCCATTTTGGAAGCTGTTGGGGCCTCTGTAGGGGCCTCGTTTGGGCTCCTTGGGAGCCTCCTGGGGCCTCTTCGGGGGATTCTTGGCGGCCCCTTGGGGCCTCTTGGGGGCCTGTTTGGGCCTCCTGGCGCCCTCTTGGGGCGGAAGGCTCGGATTTTCGGTCCGTGGTCCCCCTCTTGGCCCCCTCTTGGGCCTGTCTTCGGGCCCTCGTGGGCCGTCTTGAGCGTCTCTTGGGTCGTCTTGGGGCCCTCTTGGGCTGTCTTGGGGCGCTCTTGGAAACCTCTTGGGCCGTTCTGGGGCGCTCTTGGAGGCCTCTTGGGCCGTCTTCGAGCGTCGGAAAGCGGAAAAGGCGAGAAGGCCAAAATCCTTCCAAAACCGTCGTAAAGCGGACGATTTTGAGGCCCAAAACCGTCCAAAACCTCCTGAGGCGGTCCCCTCGTCCGCCCCCCTCGCTTCGAAGCAGTTTTTAAGCCCCGTGGCACCTCTTGGGGATCTCTTTTGGGCTCCTGGGGGCCTCTTGGGCCTCCACTGGATTCGCTGCCCTCGGTCGGCAATCGTCGATCCTACGACGACTCTCCCCAACGGAGAAACATCGAAGGCCCTCGGAGCGTCCAACATTGTTCTTTTGTGCCTTCGATATGCCGGTCGCCTCTCGTCCGCTCCCCCCCTCCTGGAAGCAATTCTGAAGCCACTTAGGGCTTCGTGGGGGCCGTTTGGGGATCTCTTGGGGCGTTTTTGCCTGCGATATGCCTGTCGCCTCTCGTCCGCTCCCCCGCTCCTGGAGGGAATTCTGAAGGCACTGAAGGCTTCGTGGGGGCCGTTTCGGAGCCTCTTCGGCCTTCTTTTGGGCCTCCCGGGGGGGCTCTTAGGGCCCTCTCGGGCCGTCTTGGGTGCCTCTTGGGCCGTCTTGGGGCCGTCTGAGACCCGCCTCGGCGCCTCTTGGGCTGTCGTGGGCCGTCTTGGGCCGCTCCTGGGGTCGTCTTGGGTGCCTCTTGGGCCGTCTTGGGCGCCTCCTGGGCCGTCCGGGGGCCGTCCTGGGGCGTCTTGGGACCGTCTGGGGGCCCTCCTGGCCCGTCTTGGGGCTCTCTTGGGGTCCTCTTCGGCCGTCTTGGAGCGGCCGGGGGGGCTTCTTGGGCAGTCTTGGAGCGTCGGGAAGCCGACGAGGCGAGGAGGCCGAAAACATCGCAAAACACAGTAGAAATCGACGATTTCTGTCGCTCGGGGCCCTCTTGGGAGGCCTCTTGGGAGGCCTCTTCGGGCGTCTTGGACGCTTCTTGGGCCGCCTGGGGCGAATCTCGGGCGTCTTGGGCCCATCTTTGAGCGTGCCGGGGCTCTCCGGGGCCGTCTTGGGGGCTTCTGGGGGCCCTCTCGACATGTCCTGGGGCCTGCCTGGGCGGCCCGGGGCGGCCCGGGGCCAGCCCGGGGCGGTTTTGAGACATTTGAGCCTGCGCCCTTCCCGCACGCACGTGCCCCTGCAATGTAGTAGAGACTAGGGCGAACCCGTGGACTTCGTCCACGTCATCTTGGGCCAGTCTTGGCTCGAAAAGGCCGTCTTGGGCCTGTCTTCGCTCGACATGGCGATAAGGTGGAAATCTTTCAGAAACCATCGAAGAATCAATGATTTCGTTTGCCGCGGCTCGTCTGGAGCGTCTTCGAGCGGTCTTGGGCCGTCTCGGAGGCCCTCTTGGACCGCTTCCTTCTCTTCGTCCGCCTTCCGCTCTACCTCCGCCTGGACAGCCTTCGGAGCGTCACAGACGGCTATGGTGGGTCTGCGGTGTACGTCTCGCCGCTTGTCAACTTTG